TTTGGATCGTCCAATTAAAGTCGCCGGTTCGACTAATTTTCTAGCTATTATATTCATCAAATAATGTCGCTATTTTCACCGCAGGATGGGCCACTTCTTATTAGTATGTTTTTGGAAGCAAACTGATGCGATATATTGCGTTAGAGGCCGTAGGTATGTTTTCATGAATGACTGCGGAACCTTTCACGATACCTCAATTTGTCCTAGCCGCCGGAGAAACGAGGCAGCTTTGCGTGCTTACTTTCTAAGCTACAATTGTGATTGCGTTTCCCCAAAGCATCCTTTCTCCCGGAATAACTCCTAGGTAATTGACTTTTGATTTCCTGCAGAACACGTCGTTACTCACAACTAATGGTACTTTACCTTAGTTTAAAACAGCATTGTTTTTCGAACGGAATACCGCATATTTTGATAACGGATTTAGCCTAATTTCGGCTTTGTTCGTCCAACTGCAGACATTGTGGATGTTATTACTCAGCCTCGTTATGTCTCCGTAATTCCGTACGAGTGCAAGCGGAGATGCGTCGTCAGCGTATTTTATGAAGGTAGTCCCCACTTGGCTTCTGCAGTTACTGGTATAGAAGATAAACAAGGCAAGTGACAGCTCAGAACCTTGTTGCAGTCAAAATTCGCAAGATTTTTCAACTCTGCCTGAGTCTTTCTACTCGAACACTCTGTGTAATGCCACTGAAATATGTTATCATCGCATCAAGCATAGGACTTACTCCAGCATGCCTTAATTTTTGCGCAAACGATTGCGTAGAATTGTGTTGTAGACTGAGCTGAAATTCATAAACACCGATCTTGTTATCCTAAAGCGCTTGTCTAGATTGTTGACAATGAAATTAATTAGTTTGATTAGAGCAACATTTGTCCTCGATTTCGAATTATTCCGAGTTGCAAGGTATCAGCATGCGCATCGGTGAACTTCAATATTCTATGTGATCACAGTTTTTCCAAGCACGTGAAGGTCGATGAGGTAATGGTTATCAGCCTCCCATGCTGGGGCAATTTCGCAGGTTGCAATACGAATGTTTTCCCATCCTTTACAAGCGTATAAAAAAATATTCTACTGTACTCTTGACAGATTTGATTGGCTGAATGCTTTAGTGTGCCTGGTTGTAAACCGTCTACTCCAGTTGCTGCTCCTGAGACAACGCAATAATCACTTCGTCTTCGGCAGAGTGTATCATTTCTGCGCTCCACATATCTGCAGGAGTAGTTTCCTGATTCTTTCATGTGGTCTCATGACAAAGGAAGAAAGTGTTAATGACATTTGCGTCAATGGCTGAAGTCGCACTTAATTTGCGAAGATTTCAAGCTTGCTTAATCATATTTCAGACCTCACGAGGTTTGACATTTTCAGGAGACAACCAGGCGGAAAATTCTTTCTGAAGGCGGCGGATTTCTTGCAAAATTTTTTAAAATAATGTTTAGCTCAGCTAAGGCTCCATGACGATAAGCCTGTTCTTCT